TTTTGGGGTCTTTGCACCGTTTCCGAGTCTCCTCTGTTATGAATAATGCCCCCATGAACATAGGGGTGCAGGGGTGCTCTTGGATTACAGTTCTTTGTGTCCTACGGGTGAGAGAGAGGCCTGTGTCCGTACGTTGTTTTCTTAACACGGACCCACAAAATAGCAAAGACAGTGGAGCCGGGAACATGGCCGTTGGGTTAGAGAACAGACGCGTCTCAATGCGATGCCATCACCTGCAGGAACCCCCCGCGCCCCCCAAAAATATTCCTAAAACATCCATGTTTGGGAAGTTGCTGTAGCTCATGGACTGAGCTGTCGACTGAAATGTGGACTCACGCAGCTCACAGCGCGTGTCCGGGGTCGGGGGATCGTGCAGCGTTTGCGCTTTCCGACAGAGACTAGACTGAATAACCCCGGACGCACCGAGCAGGTAGCGCCGACACTGACGTTTCGGAAGCCAGGTTTCGGGGCGTCCACGCCCGCGGTTGTCTCGACCCTAGACAGGCCCTTGGGTCCCCCTCCCCGAGTGCTCGGAACCGACACCCACATGCTACGTTCTCTTCCGCCTGCAGCACGCCCAACATCGACCGCCTGGCCAGGGAAGGCGTGATGCTCACCCAGCACCTGGCCGCCGCCTCCGTCTGCACCCCGAGTCGGGCTGCGTTTCTGACCGGCCGCTACCCCATCCGATCAGGTGAGGAGTGCGCGCCGCCCTGCCCTGTGGGATTCTCCCGGCCGACACTTCCAGCGTAGGAACCTGGTGGCCTCAGGTGCGCTCAGGCCGGGCAGCTGGTTTTCCCCAGGTGCCACCAAGCTGCTCCCCTGCAGGGACGGGGTCTGGGGCTCTGGTGAGCGGAGTCGGCAACTGTGGGTCCTTCTCGCCGGGAGCCTTCAGGGTGCTCCCATTTCCTTCCAGCTTTAGGGCATGGGGTGCCTGAGCAAACACGGGGTCCCCTCACTCCTTTTAAAAAAAAAGATTTATTTGTGCACACAGAACTGGGGTACAGGCCACAGGCTCAGGGGTGGTGAGAGGCTTCCCCAGAGACAGAGCGGGGAGCAGAACAGGCCGACTGCTGAGGGGAGCAGCGGGCGGGGCAGGAGGGGTCTGCCGCGCCCTGGCCGGGATCGAACTCCTGCTGAAGCGGCTTTAGCTGCTTACTGCTGCGCTTTCACCCGCTGCGCCACCGGGGGGCGCCCCAGACCGCGTAGGTGCTGCAAGAAAAAGCGGATCTGAGCCGCCCCCGGAGCGGGTCCGGACGAGCAGCCGGCGCGCGCATGGAGGAAACTCTGGCCAAGAGAATGGAAAGCAACCGGCAGCGCCTCACTGTCTCTGTCTCTGTCTCTCTGTGTCTCTCCCTCGCGCACACACCTCTGCGCTTCCCAGTCCAGCCCGGTGACCACAGCTGGGCGTTTTCCATGGCCGCGACGCGCTCAGTGGGGTGTGGAGCCCACACGCCCGAAACGCATTTTTATACCCAGCTAAGAGCTCCCGAGGGAGCCGGCGCGAGCGTCTCTGTCTCTCTGCGTCTCTCCCTCGCGCACCCACCTCTGCGCGTCGCAGTCCAGCTCGGTGACCACAGCTGGGCGTTTTCCATGGCCGCGCAGCGAAGCCGCGAGGCGCCCCGCGGGGGTGTGGAGCCCACACGCCAAAACGCATTTTTATACCCAGCTAAGGGCTCCCGAGGGAGCCGGCGCGAGCGTCTCTCTCTCTGCGTCTCTCC